GTCCCACAAGAGTGTCCTACAAGAGTGTCCCGTAAGAGTGTCTCACATGTCCCGTATGAGTGTCCCACAAGAGTGTCGCACAAGTGTGTCCCACAAGAGTGTCCGACAAGAGTGTCCCATAAGAGTGACCCACAGGGACCCACAAGAGTGTCCTACAAGAGTGTGCAACAAGAGTGTCCCGTAAGAGTGTCCCACAAGAGTGTCCTACAAGAGTGTCCCACAAGAGTGTCCTACAAGAGTGTCCCGTAAGAGTGTCTCACAAGAGTGTCCCACAAGAGTGTCCCGCAACCATGTCCCACAAGAGTGTCTCACAAGAGTTAAGAGTGTCCCACAAGAGTGTCCTATAAGAGTGCCCCACAAGAGTGTCCCACAAGAGTGCCCTACAAGAGTGTCCCACAAGAGTGTCCTACAAGAGTGTCCCACAAGAGTGTCCTACAAGAGTATCCCACAAAGGGTTTCCTACAAGAGTGTCCTATAAGAGTGTCCCACAAGAGTTTCCCACAAGAGTGTCCCACAAGAGTGTCCCACAAGAGTGTCCCGCAAGAGTGTCCCAAATGAGTGTCCCACAGGAGTGTCCCACAAGAGTGTCCCGCAACAGTGTCCCGCAAGAGTGTCTCACAAGAGTGTCCCTTAAGAGTGTCCCACAAGAGTGTCCCACAAGAGTGTCCCGCAAGAGTGTCCCAAATGAATGTCCCACAGGAGTGTCCTACAAGAGTGTCCTCTAAGAGTGTCCCACAAGAGTGTCCCACAAGAGTGTCCTACAAGAGTGTCCCACAAGAGTGTCCTACAAGAGTGTCATTTGGACATATGTAGCTTTTGGAACGTGTTTGCATTCGGGTTCGTGGGCTCCATCTTGTATTTTTGGCAGGGACAGCACTTGGTGAGCCTTGAAGTGCAGATTTCGTGGCAGGCACAGCACTTGGTGAACTTCGAAGCGCAGATTTCGTGGCAGGTACAGTGCTTAGTGAACCTCGAAGTGCAGATTTCGTGGCAGGCGCAGTACTTTGTGACCTCAGAGCTGAACTCAGAAGTGGCCAGTTTGTAGTACAAATGTAGTGCGGGAAAGAGCTTTTCGGAGCTGGACTCAGAAGTGGCCGGTTTGTAGTACAAATGTAGTTAGTACGGGAAAGAGCTTTTTGGAGCTGGACTCAGAAGTGGCCAGCTTGTAGTACAAATGTAGTGCGGGAAAGAGCTTTTCGGAGCTGGACTCAGAAGTGGCCAGTTTATAGTGCAAATGTAGTGCGGGAAAGAGCTTTTCGGAGCTGGACTCAGAAGTGGCCAGTTTGTAATGCAAATGTAGTACGGGAATGAGCTTTTCGGAGCTGGACTCAGAAGTGCCCAGTTTGTAGTACAAATGTAATGCGGGAAAGAGCTTTTCGGAGCTGGACTCAGGAGTGCCCAGTTTGTAGTACAAATGTAGTACGGGAAACAGCTTTGCAGAGCTGGACTCAGAAGTGTTTGCTTTTAGTCTGTGACAGACGGTGTGGCGAAAGTACGTCCGTAATATCGCTGTGCCATGCGGATTTGCGCGGCCTTGGTGGGAATCGCGTTTGCGTGGCACCGTGCCACTGGGGAGCGCGAAACATGGTGGCGTAAACGCGGCGTGTCGCTGGTGAGCGGGATGAATGGTGGTATCATGTGATATGTTTGCTTCTATAGTGTGTGGCAGACTGTGTGGTGAAATTACGTACGTTCGTGATGTCGCTGTGCCATGCGGATTTGAGCGGCCTTGTTGGGGAGTGCGTTTGCGTGGCGCCGTGCCACTGGGGACCGCGAAACATGCTGGTGTAAACGCGGTGTGTCGCTGGTGAGCAGGATGATTGATTTTTACCGACAAACGGCTTATCCCTCAGTTTCGTTTTCGCTTGCAACCCTTTCGTTATGATGCTTACTCCTACTATGCTTTCGGGCCACCCTGTCGTTTAGTTTGTTAACAGGACAGCTTGTACTTATGGTTGATTTTTTTGGCCCTGTCATTCTTACAGTCTTTGGTTGCATTCATTGTTAAGACTCTGGTTGCGCATGTATGACAGGTTGTACATGCAAGTTCGGAGTCCTGTGTAACTACATTCACTCCGACGTGCGGTGGTGTGACCCGCATGCAGAGTGCCAGAGCGACTACGCCGTTGTGGGCTGCTTGCATGACGCCATCGTTGTGGGCCGGGAAAAAAGGGGGTCCGCAGGGCATGCGCGAAGGGACACTCCTATAGGTCAAATTGCTTTTTCGGAAACTTCCGCCGTGGGCTTGCCCGGGAACTGCTTGTAAGCGCTGTAGGCCCCGCAATAGGCGAGTGCATGTATCATTACAATTTTTAGATATAATCAATTGTGTTTGCTATTGTCTGGGGCATTTGGGCCGATGTGTTTTCCTCCGTGCGTGCTCGCATCTGCTTGCAAGGACGCATTTTTGAAAACCCTGCACGGGAGAGACCTTGAAATCGCGCGATCACTGGGCTGCGCCTCCCAAGAAGAATTGGATATCGAGAAGCGGAAGCTGGAGGAGCATTCTGCTCGCGGACAACTCCTTTTTCTGTGGCCAGTTACTTCTCCCAAGTAAAATTGCAGCTAGTGGTCAGTCAGGCCTTTCTTTATGCTCTTGAAAGTTCAATTGCAATTTCGTTGGACAGGAATCAGGTGTGCGTCATAATTCCACAGCATTGCCCGATTCCAATGTGCCGTACCAAGCCCTTCGGTGTTCCAGCTACTGTAAGCCAAATAACAATCGAGTCCCCATCCAGCACCCTGAGTATCCCTGACTTATGCCAGGGCACTTGCTTGTCATCCAAGAGTTTCTTTCCTGGATTTTATGTATGTCACTTCAACGGGCAGGGCTGCAGAACATGTGCCAACAATATGGACGTTCAGGAGCGAAAGGCCAAAGCAGAAATCGCACAAAAGAAGAATCTGCGGGACAATGAGTGGAAGAGGCACGTGCTTGGGGATGCATTGACGTTGAAAAAATAGAATCCTATATATGTGTATATATTATATATATATATAAATGGCCAACGAGTCATGACAAGCTCTTCTCTGCTTCTCTTGGTGTTTTGCAGCCTTCTTGGCACTGGTTTGAGGCAATGCGAAATTAATTACGAGAAGGAGCAGCGGCAAAAGCAGAGAGAGGAGACCTATCGCAACAAACGAATACTGTACGCAAAGCATGGCATTGGAGAAAGTCTCGACAGCATCTGACAGCAAGACAGGCAACAACATGGTTTTCTGAGCTTAGCTTGGTGTCCACACGACGTCCTGCAAGCGACATTAGAAGCGTGAGTGGTAAGTGCCGAACCCTTGTGTTACAGTTGATTGGCAGAGGAAAGCAAGTGGAAGAAGCAGTTGGAGGACGTCAAGAAAAAGGCATTCTCGCAAGGTGTTGCTTTGAATGCACCGAACTGATCATGATTTGCTTGAAACTGATTGAATCCCTTTGGCATGCAGCCTTTTCTGCACCAAACCCGTTTGTAATCATGTTCCTTTTGTTGTCCTTCTCTAACTTGCTGCGGACAGCTTTGCCCTGCGACAACACTTAACCTTTTGAGTGTCAAAAGAGGCTGCGTTTCATGCCTTGGAAACACATTGTGGAAGCGCGCCTTTTTTGTTTCTCAGGATCTTTGTGAGCAAGTTTGCATACCTTGCACCCTCCAAGCCAGAGTCCGAGGTTCTTGAGGCGTACGATTATGGAGATGGCGTGTGGTGGGTGCAGAGTCCTGGTTGCATCACTTGTAGTGATTTGAGGTAGCTCTTTTGTGACAAAGCCCACGGTGCCTCCTGTATTTGGAGGGTCACTCCCAACCCCTAAACAACCCTCACGAACTGAGGCAGCCTATCCAGGAAAAGTGGTGGACCTTGAACCATTTTTGGGAAGCGTTTCCCCCACCAAGACCAACAGCATGGTGTTTCTTTGGCTGGGTTCCTTGAAGATCCTTGAAGGCTTCAGGGGTTTTGCCGAAACGCTCCCGGGAAGAGCACTTACGTTTAACGGGCCATTAGGTTGAGGACCTAGGTTGCATGCTTGAAGCACTTGTAGAGAGATTTGGGTCAAACAGGTGCGCACATACGATCAGCATTGGTGTTCTTTTTTTTGCCCTTTGGATAATTCGTGCAATTATATATCCACCTCATGTTGATCATGGCGATTTTGCTGGGACAGTGCATATGAGACATCGTTATTCCTCGCATTGAGCCTCATTGATCAGGTTGCAAGACAAAAAGTGGATGGAAGTGCAGGGGCGGTACTACTGCGAATACTGCAACAAGCATCTCAATGACAATACCCTCGAGGCATTCATTTTCTTACAACGCCGTGCTAACTGTACCAACTCACTGATTGAGAAAGCACTTGTTTGTCCCTACTCGAATGTCCACCGAGTTTGGCATCAGGATGGTTTTAAACATGATTACACTTTGCACATGTTCAGCACAGATCTGCGTGCACATGATGTGCAATCGCCCGCTTGCAGGCCCACATAGATTCGGAGGCGCACAAGAAGAAGCACGCGTGGGCCACTCCAGCTTTGGCAGGCCATGACCCCTGAAAGTGGGTCGATCCCCAATCAATTCTTGAGGACCACAAGGTCACAAGGCCCGGCTAGGTGCTGCAAACCTTGTAAAGTCCAACCGCCAGGTCCTCCTGCCCCGCCGCCTGTGGCAGCTCCACGCGGGCCTGCGCCGGCGCCGCCCTTGACGGCCTCCTTGTCACCCGTGTGCCCACCAGTGGCACACCTCCTAGACTGGCAGCAGGTAGGGCCTGATGGTTTGGCATCTTGGGTGGAACAAGACTGTTTTTCATTTTTCATCGCAATGATTGACTTGTAGTGAATGATTATACGAAGGTGCTTGAGGTGGGTGATTGCATGAACCAGGGCAGTGTTGAGAGTTTCTTGCAGTACTGGCAGTACTATAGATTCTTTGGCCGACGGCTGGCAAGCTGGTCCTCCAGTTGACAGGGGGAAGGTGGCTCGAACCCTCGACATCCTCATGAATCCCTCCAGCACGAAGTTTCATGGGATCCTACTGTATGTGGTTTGGCCACATGATTCACCGTTACTTTGCCCAATAAGGTCCGCTGCATTCCCTGTAACAAAGTTGTCGATGACAACCACATTGGAACAGGAGAGGGCTTGGTTGCATGAATACAGTGAAGGTGTGATAGAATCGCAACGCGTGGTCTCACCTGGCTGCCGCGGGTATGCTACTTTGACGGCTGTACTTGGGTGGGAGTTCACACAAGCGCAGCAGGAGATCACTGTCGAAGATTGGAGGCCTGGCGAGAATATGAGAGGCTGAAGAAGACCGGCCATCCCGCCCCGGAATTGGAATACTTGGCATGGGCTGCTTGTCTCCACGTGGCAAGTGGGCAAGGGCGGGTTGCTCCTGGGAGAGGGATAAAGCAAACAAGTAGGGATCAAAAACACCAGAAGGAGAAAGAAGGAAGGAAGGAAGGCAGGCAGGAAGGAAGGAAGGAAGACCGACTGACAGACAGAGACAAGACAGTATGACGATGCACGGTCTGACAGGTGTGCTCTGTGTGGTGCCAGGATAGGATCCGATGCACACACCCAGAACGCCGTGAAGGGGCGCTGCGCCCTCCAGTGCAAAGAGTTCTTGCAAACTCCTTGCGTAACCTTGTAATTACTACTGCTGGCTACGAGCACGAGGACGACGGCGACGACGACGACGACTACTACTACTGGCTACTGGTACGACCACTACTACTACTACTACTGCTACTACTGCTACTACTGCTACTACTGGCTACTGGCTACTACTACTACTACTACTACTACTACTACTACTACTTCTATTACCACTACTACTACTACTACTGGCTACTACCACTACTACTACTACTACAACTACTACTACTACTACTGGCTACTACTATTGGCTACTACTACTACCACTACTACTACTGGCTACTACTACTACTGCTACTACTACTGGCTACTTCTACTACTGGCTACTACTACTACTACTCCTACTACTACTCCGGTTCCTACTCCTACTCCTACTCCTACCCCTACTGCTACTGCTACTGCCACATACTACCCACTCCCGACTACTTATTACGTTACCTACTAACTACCCACTACAGTACCCACTACCTAATACCTACTACTACCTGCTACTACCTGCTACCTGCTACTACTGCTGCTGCTGCTGCTACTTCTACTTCTTGGTCGACTTCTACTTCTGCTGCTGCTGCTCCACTTACTGCTGCCGCACAGTGTCACCCGACAATACATTTAGAGGAGGAAGGAACCACTCCAATGTAGTAGCATACCTTGTGTGAGCCACCTGATGGTAAAACTTGGGTGAAGAAAGGGCCATGCCAACGCGGCAGACCTTCTGTGACCCGAGGTAGGAGCAAAGGACGCTACTAGGAGCAAAGGGCATCGCTACTAGGAGCAAGGGCCTTACTACTAGGAACAAGAAGCTAGTAGAAACAATAAGTAAATAGACTTTAATTAGAATTAAGAGAAGGAAGAAACCTTCCTCCACCCACGTGCCACATGCCTGTGTGCGCAAGTCGCGGTTGCAAGGGCAAGCGAGTCGCTGTGTGACTGTGACCCAGTGCGCTGCTGCCACTTTTACTCCTACCGCTCCCAGCTCCTACTACTACTACTACTATTACTACTACTACTACTACTACTACTACTACGGCTACTGCTGCTACTGCGGCTGCTACTGCTACCACCACTACTACTACCGCTGCTGCTGCTACTACTACTACTGCTACTACTGGCTACTGGCTACTAGTGACTACTACTGACGACTGCTTACTACTACCGGCTTCTACTGGCTACTGCTGGCTACTACTGACTGTTACTGACTACTACTGACTGCGGCTACGACGACGACGACGACTATATATACTACTACTGCTTCTACCACTATGACGTGTCACGTAACTATTCTATTTACTACGGCTACACTACTGCTGCGGGTGCGGCTACTACTACCACCACGACGACTAGGTAGTAGTACTAGTATTGTGTGTGCTGCTGCTACGGGTTCTTGTTGTAGTTCTTGTTGTTTATTTGTTGCACTGGCTGGTCTTTATTTTCTGACATTGATTTTCATTTTGACCCTTGTTTGTCCTTTGCTTTTATTACAGCATCGCTTGGTTTTGTGATCCTCCACCCGTTGCTTCGAGCCATTGCGTCAGAGTACAACACTGAAAGATGAGGGTGCCACCTAGTGAAGCACCCCGACACTCACTTTGCAAGCTGTCCAGGAAGGTGTCAAACCAAACTGCAACTCGTTCTCGCGAAGCTGGTTCCTTTCCGTTTCACTCCTTCTCACTTCCTCATCGCACTTACTTGACTACTCAGACCAAGTCATATTAGCAGTTGTTGGCGGCCTTCTTGCATGGCCAGCAATGGGGCCACTGTTCCAAGTTTTTGGAGCCTGACAAGGAGCGTTATGAGGCTTCCCTGCTGTTCTGCATGCGCCCAGGTCCCCAGCATTGACGGCGATCCGAACTCTGAGAAGTGGAAGAAGTGCCTCCTGTGTAAGTGACATGTCAGAGGCATTTGCACTATACTATGTTGGTCTTATTTTCTCCCCTTGGGCGAAGGGCGCCGGTTTGATTTGTCCTGTGTGCTCTTTCTGGTTAGACGGTTAGACCGTACATCGCTGAGGAAGTGGGTTCAGGATGAGACCTCGCATTGCGGCACAGCTGCGAACCCACAAGGGTCCAAAGAGCACCAGAAACTTGGAGAACACCAAGTGTACAGTTTATGCTTAGGCTTAGGCTATGCAGATTGCAGTTTCGCTTTGCGTTCTGTATCGGGAAAGTAGATACCTGAGGAAAAATTTGCGAAACTATATGGGCACTGCCTGGTACACTGAGAATGTCATCAAACTCCGGAAGATGCTCGGAAGGATGACCGGTGTGCATTGGCAAGCCCTGAGAAAACACATATATAAATTCATTCCATTTGCCCAGTGGTTTGGAACCCAGGCAATATCATCCAGAACCAAATGTTCGCTCCTCGTCGTACCCTGCGGCTGGACCGGCAAGCCCGGCCCCTTGGGCAAAAACGCCAGCACCAGCACTTGCAAATGCAGCACCGCCGATCCATGCAACACCGCCAACACAAACGGTACCACGCGCAAAGGCAGCACCACCGGGCTTTATGCCAGCCACCCCGTTCCTTACTGTCCAACCAGTTCCAGACGACCCCTGGGCACTTCCAGCAGAAGAAGTCCATCAAGCCGCTCCTCAAGCCCCCTGGGACACATATTGTGCGAAGCCAACGCAGGTGCATGAAGTTTGAGTCAGTCTTTGTTGCCCAGTTGGTCAGTGGACTTCATGTCGATTTCATGGCCTGGTTACATCAAAGAGGGCACTCCACCAAATTAAAGTTTTGATGAATTTTGATGAACCAAGGGATTCATGATTTTGAATATCATTCAATTTCAAAGTTGGAGGATTATTTTCGCATGGATTTCATGGGCTTATGAGATTGTCGCAGATGAATGCAGATGAAACCATCATAAGCCATACCTTTTCCTTGTTTTTCATTCGTTTCTCCTACCCGACCTGGAATGAATGCCCACAATCGAGGGGGGGAAGTGCTGCAATGGTTAATGGTCTAATGAACCAACAACCTGAATTTGGCTCTCTAGCTGGACTAGGCCAGGCGTTGGAGAATTCTTCGGCACTTAGCCGCTTAGCCGTTTACTTTTTGCTGCTGGCCTCGCTAGGTGCAGCCACCTTTCCCACCATCTCCAACACGGCTTCCCTCGGAAACAGAGGTTGGCGAGGTTGAAGAATGCTGAGGCACAAGAGCCGTGCAAAAGCTTGCGGCCATGTAGACGGATGCGACTGACTAGAATCTGAGGTTGGAGGCCATCGCTATTAGAATATTAGAACTGACCCGCCTTGCAGTTTACCTTCTGGTTGACGACAGGTGATAGTTCATAAAGGTGCCACAGTGCGGGACCAGGCATCACCGGGCGGACCAAAAGTTGGACCCAAATGACCCCGTTTAGACAGCGTTGACTGCGCTCATCTCTGAAGCAGAGTGCTTTATTGCCTTTCGATGCACCCTTTGAACAAGGCAGCTCAACTTGGCACTGGTGTTGAGTCAATTTAAGTCATTTTCTCTATCATTACAGTCAAGGATGATATACGGGTTTGTTTCATCCAAGTTTCTTATCCTCAATACATTCAGTGCCCCTTCAACTCCTTCAAACAACTGACTTTTACCTCTACCATTATTTAACAACATCAATTTATTCATTACAATTCTTTCAGGGGATGCTTGAAACTGTATATACTCACTGCCGTTTCTGGAAAGAAACGATAAATTTGTATTGGTTAAACTATCAATGGTGTCTGTTTTAAGACCGTTCTCTATGTCTAGTTCCTGTTTCGTTTCAAGGGTTTAATTGGTATAATCATACCTCATATACTCAGTGGCAGTGTGAGTCCAAGTAGTATCTGCTGTAATGTTTGCGGAGTAATACTGATTTGAATTTACCGCATTTGCTGTCAATCCTGCTGTATCTACTGCAGTTGCATTCCAAATTGAATTTGCTTTTAAACCTAACGATGTGTCTATTCTAATGTCAAGTCAGGATTAATAAATCCCCCCTAGTTAACCCGAGCCCACAAAGCCGCCGGAAATTGCCCAACTTAAAAGTATTATTGGCTGTTGATTTCCCCTCCTGTGGTCTAGTTTTCTACCAACAATCCCCCCCAGTTAATCCGAGCCCACAACCAGGTCAATTTTTCGTACTACTACTGGTACTGCTACTACTGCTACTGCTACTAGCTATTGCTGCTGCTGTTACTGCTACTGCTATTGCGACTGCTACTACCACCACCACCATCACCACCTAACACCTACCACCTACTACATGTTTGATGAAATCCTTAAAGCCTTAAACATGTCTAGGGCTCGGGGCCTATAAATTGCCTTATTACAAAACAATTAAAAACAATCATTTGACAAGCTCACAAAGGGTACCCCTCACAAGGGCCGGTCCCCCATCAATAATCTGCACTACTACCCCCTATTAATTTGATCCTGTGTCCCTGGCCTTTTCTTTGTGCTTGTTTAAACTTGTTGTGACTACTACTACAACTACTACCACTACCACTACCTACTACCTACTACCTACTACCTTTACCTACATAACTACAACCCATAAAAAAAATACAACCTATAACCACAGCATACTTACAACCCATAAACCCAGACCCAGAGATAAAACACAACAGCAACAACAATTATTCACCTCATCTTTGAAAAAAAGATGAAAGGGAAAATTTTGGTGAAAAATGTCTTACAACCAACATCGCAAAAAAACATCAAAGGCAAGGTTCAAAGGATGAACTCCAACATAAAATCTATAAGGCAAACCTCCAACAAATAGTCCTAGAACCATCCTTTTAACATGTTTTTCCCCTCCAACCCTGTTTGCAGCCACGCCCTTTACGTATCGGCTCCCAGCCTGACGCTTCCATAAATTGCAATTTTGTGCTGCCTTATTCCTCCCATCCACATTCCATACTGGAATAGTTCAACCAACCATTTGCACCAACCAGGCTGGATGTGATCGGATCGCGTGAGGCGGAAATGGCATGAGCCTTGAAGCTCCCAACTCCGCCGGCTGTGCATACCCATCAGCGGAGTAGATTCGTGCCAAATGCACATATATTATAGTAGATCGGAGGGTCCTTTTTGATTGACCAGCTGGACCAAGATGTCTCTTCCATCGCAGCTGGACTGCGTATCTTCGATTTTTGGCACCGGTGATGCCACCATTTTTGTCATGGCAGCCCGTGCCCTTAGAAAGTCAATCAGGTTGTGGACAAATCTGTGGGGCTTGTGAACATTCCGTTGAATAAGAAGCTTGGGACATGCGGCAACCTTGACAGCCACTCCGGTGGGCATGTTCCTGGGCTCTCTGGAAGATTGACCACGTCAAGACCATTATAGGCAAGTAAAGACAAAGGTACCCTTCGTTTGGAAACCAGTCTCTTCCAGCAGAGAACTGTAGAGACCAGGATGGCAGATTGGCAGAAGCCATTGTGTAGAAACTAGATGCTTTGGCCACCATTTGCTGCTTGTTATGAGTCGGCAGGACATTTCAGAAGTCGCATTGCTGACCTTAGCAACTCATGAACGTGGAATCCATTGGACCAGTCGGCATTCCGTGCGAATAGCCGAACGGCTCACATCTTTGAATCATTGCTGGGGGAGGTCCTGCATGGGGTCGCATGGGCCTCAATTGTTGTACATGGGCCAAGTCATGCAAGAACATGCAACTGACGCATATTGTATAAACCATGCAGAGAATTCGGATCCCTGTGAGCAGTGACTGTGCCCAGACATCATCTCCAGCAGTGGAATCGGCTGCGGCCGCCAGAGACTTGCAGTTCGCTAGCAGACTTGGCCGCGGAAAAGCTGAGCTTGAGTTAATTTGAATCAAGATCCCCAACACTTTTTGTTCTGGGCGACCTGTTCCCAGTAATTAGAGAGGTGAACCTGCTTGTGGCAGGCTTGCAGGCTTCCTTTTTCGGGGCAAGGTCGTTTGGCTCCTTGGAACTGGGGGAATTTCCATCCGCGACCCCACTTCGTCTCACTTGGGTGACTGAGAATTACTGTAGGCCTTTAATTTAACTTTTAACCGGGCCAGGGGTGAATTTTAATTGAAGATCGCCGCAGAACTAAGGTGATCAAGCTGCTACAGAACTTCTTCCGCAAGAACGAGACGGATCAACGACTGTCTGTGGGCATCATCTCCCCCTACAATGGGCAGGCCACTGGAACGCTTTTGGTTTTGGTCGTGATGTCATATTCCGGGCAGGGTCCTTCTAGAACTCCCATGGGCTACCGTAGGCAGTTTATATAGTTGGCGCTCCAGTCAGACAGACACAAAGGGATCAGCAGCTGTAGCTTGGCTGCAGGTGAACCTCATCACTGAGAAAATTTCCGGCAGCCTTAGCACTGCCACACGGCGCAAACTGCTGCATGTGAAGTCACACGCTCCCAGGCCAAGGCCCACTCTGAAGTTCTAGGGTTGATATATCATAGTTGTCATAGTTATATATCGGAATATATCGTTTGAGGTCGAGAGCAAGAAACTGGAGAAGAAGGTAAAGCTGGCTGCTCGGCGGGAATGTTGAGACTCCGTAAGAAAGTCATGCAGAAAGTTGCTCGGCGCAAAAAACTTGGGTGTGGACTCGCAGGAATGCCATCAATCGCAATGGACAAAGCTGCATGTTCATGCACGTGGAAGTTATCCAGCGTTATCCCATCACATTTCACATGTTTCAAGGTCAAAACGGTGGATGGCTTTCAGGGCAACGAGCAAGATATCATCGTGATAAGTGCTGCACTCAGACCTCAGTACTACTCACCCAGCTTTCCCTTCATACCTGGCCCATCCCACCCAGAGGGAGGCTGGGTGAGATTGATGTTTTGTACTTGAGATTCTAGGTATTTCTGGGTCAATGATATGACATCCTGACGAGCCAGATTTCAAGCCACTCCCCATAGTCCAAGAAGGAAGGGCATTTAACGTAAACATTGAAGGGGTGGATAGACAAGAAGCTACTAGGGAAGGACATCGGCAGCATTTTGTTGCATCGTCCGGGACCTCTGAGGCACCGTGCGCTCCAACCGGAAGGGCAACATCGGATTCGTCCGCGATAAGCGACGGCTCAATGTGGCGTGGCCATGCGTCAACCATGTGCACCATGTGCATTTTGCATCATTGTGCTAGTCACTGACTCGCTTCTTCTTATATACTATATAATGTTACTGTACATAAGTCATTATGATTCAATGATTGTACTCTGGCTAGCTTGTGGACTTGGCTTGTGGATACAAACTCCTCTCAAAAAGGCACGCAACAAATGCTATGATATGCTATGAAGCTTCGGTTGAAATAGGGTTGGACCAGACTATAGCCGAGCGACCTGATGTGGATAACGAAGCATCCCAGAAATCTCACAAAGTGCCCTCACCTCATGAATTCCAATGTTTCCTATGAACATGCGTTGACTCCTTGTTGGAGCCTGTTTGCCCACGTGCTGGCCAGAAGATCCTTGGGCCAATCAAGCTTTCAAACCAGCCGGGGCACCACAATCAGGTTGCCATCACCCGTGCTCGCTTGCGGCTTTGGGTCATTGGGGACTTGACCACACTGGCCGCTGGTGATGACACGTGTGGTGCTCAGGCCTTGAAGGCACTTGCATGCACTTGCAGTCGAGAGGTGTGGTTGAAAGGGCTGCTTTGGTTGTAGCGACCGAGGTGGAGACAATTCATCAACTTTTGCAAGGTGCGAAAGTTGGTGCAGGCAGGATTTTCGCTTGGGTGATATATACATTCACACACATATATTTTTATATATATTCTTTACGTCCTCAACAGTTCTCAGCGTAATGCCTGCCAGGATGTTCCATCGGACCGCACACAAACGGAGAGGAATGTGGAGCGGCTTGTGAGACAGGCGGGTCGGGCTGTTTCCTCTCTGACTTGCCGTGGAGGAACATGGAGAAACACGGCAGGAGATGTAATTTCAGACATGAGACGCGGGCACCCATGGCAAACGGAATGTATCGCACAGATCTGAAAAGGAATGTTCGTTCGTTGGTTTGTTTGTTCTGCTTTAGCGGGAATTGGACAGGGCACCCAGACCGATATTATCGGACTTATGTATGGAAAAGATGCCGGTGGTCCTCTCGGGTTTGATTCCCCATGCAGGTCCCTTGCCCGTTTCTTTTCGAATCGGTCCAGAGCCTTCCGCTGGCCTCAAGTAGGGCA